TTATTCGTTCCACTGGGGTTTAGCAGGTGTGTTTATAAAGAGACGAAAATTGTTTGGGTACTATCCCCCACGTTCTAGTTGAGATGGTATAACCCAAGAGGCAAAATGACGCTTGCTACTGTTGTTGCGAGTTGCCGTTCGTTCTACTAAACCATTAGTCAAACGCCATCATGTCTTCTGTCGTTATTACACAAACAAAAATCTCTTTACCGTTACTAGTGTTAGTGCCTCAATATGGCTACGCTCGTGAAAGCAATACAACGAACTCAAACGCGTCTTCTTTCAATGTTGTCAACTAATATCCGGATTAATTTTATTATTTATTTTATTTTCCTCAATTCTCCGGAGAAATTTTTATAAAAATTTGAAAAACCTGGAATTCCGGGAAAATCCGGAGGACTTTCATCTCTGTGGAAAGTAAGCCATTTACTTAGTATGATGCCATACTATTTATTAAACTGACTCCTTGATTATCTTTTGGCCTACTAACCACAAGGATCATCAGGGGGGACCTGAATAGTGTTGTTTGGTGGCCTGTTTGGTCTAGTCTTTTGTGTCAAGCTGTTATTTTAGTTTATATTTTCGTCACATTCATACTCTTTTTAGTCAAGTTTTAATCAACTAAAATTTTCGTCAGAACTGTGCATGACTATTTTAATCTGGTTTTAGGTGACAAAAATTGACACAGATGAAATTTCTTCACTCTCAATACAACAAAACAAGAGGAGCCGCTGCGGGTGTCCGCGCCGCCATGTAGGGGCCCGTGTAGGGGCTTGTCCTCCCATGATGGTCACTATTCCAGCACCTCATCCTCTGTTCCCCATTGTCTGAGACATTCTCTGAGTACTTCATCCGTTGGAGCCTTCTCCTTGATGTATTCATGGAGCTTGGATGTTTCATCTTGGACAGTGGCTCTCACACTCACTAATCCCCGGCCTCCTTCCTTACGGCTTGCGTACATTCTCAGGGTGCTGGATTTGGGATGGAACCCTCCATGCATGGTTAGGAGCTTTCCGATCTTAACATCCGTGGTCTGAATCTCTTCCTTTGGCCACCTTATTACCTGCAGGGTATAAGATCACTGGTAGGGCATAGCTGTTTATTGCCCGGGTCTTGTTCTTGCCATTGAGCTGGCTTTTTAGGACTTGCCTCACCCGCTGGAGGTATTTGGCTGTCGCCACTTTCCTTGTTGCCAGTTCGAGATTGCCATCGGCTTGTGGTATACCGAGGTACTTGTAGCTGTCCTCAATGTCTGCTATTGTTCCTTCGGGGAGTGAGACCCCTTCAGTGTGGACTACATTGCCTCTCTTAGTCACCATCCGACGACATTTCTCAAGCCCGAATGACATCCCGATGTCACTGCTGTAGATCCTGGTTGTGTGGATCAGGGAGTCCATGTCCCTTTCGCTCTTAGCATACAGCTTTATGTCATCCATGTAGAGGAGGTGACTGATCGTAGCTCCATTTCTGAGGCGGAATCCATAGCCAGTGTTGGCGATTCCTTGGCTTAGGGGGTTCAGTCCTATGCAGAACAGCAGCAGGGAGAGTGCATCACCTTGGTATCTCCCACACTTGATGGATACTTGTGTAAGTGGCTTGCCATTGGCTTCAAGTTTGGTTTTCCACATCCTCATTGAGTTCGCAACGAAGGCTCTTAGGGTCCTATTCACCTTATACAACTCTAAATATTCAGTGATCCATGTATGTGGCATCGAGTCATAGGCTTTCTTGGAATCAATCGAAGGTGTGCACAGGTTGGTATGTCGGGACCTGCAGTCTTGTGCGACTGTTCTGTCAAAGACCTCTGGTAAATCTACCTATGCCCTTCTGTGCTTCGCTCATGTATTAAAGCATGTGTCCACTTATCTTAGCCGCAATGATGCCTGACATGAGCTTCCATGTTGTGGAGAGACATATTATTGGCCGATAGTTGGATGGCACTGCACCCTTTGAGGGATCCTTCATGATCAGGATTGTTCGCCCTTCGGTTAGCCATCCTGGGTGAGTCCCATCCCTCAGCCACTGGTTCATTTGTGCCGCTAGGCGCTCATGGAGAGCTGTTTTTCATATCTGAGACTCTTTCCTGTCTGTCTGCCACTGTTATGGTAACTGGGTTCTGTTCAGGGTGGTATCTGCCTTTTCATCACACCTTTCTGGGTCTCCGTCAATTGACTCACATCTTTCCGAGCCACCTTGATCTTCGCCTCCAACCGCCTTTTCCATGGTGGGTAACGTATCTCATGGCTCCCATGGTTGCTCTTATAGCCAAGCATCTCTCAGATCACTGATGCTGAAGTGTTTCTAGGTTGCCCAGCCTTCATTCTCGCCATGATCTTAGCTCAGCATTAATTGGGGCTGTTAATGAACTGGTCAATTTTAAAGATTAAGTCAAGATCTGAGGCCTTCACACGTTATTCTGCACTTTTCTTCTCTTTTATTCCTCACACTTCTTTGACGTTCTAGTTCCACATTTTGACGGATTCACAAGAATTGTTCCAACTTCCATTTTTCTCATTCCAAAAATGTATGGGTTTCACAAAATTTTAGGTTTTTCACACAGCCCACCCCATCCCCCAAAACCAACCAATCAATCAATTAAATTAAAAAAAAAAACACCACCATTCATCCTCAATAGTACATTCAACATTACATATTTACATTGTTCCAAATTAGAATTCAAAACGTTCAGCTCATTTAATTCACCTTCAACATGCCGAAAACTCCCTTTTCACAATTAAAATACACAGAGTTCTCCAATTAGTTTTACTCCTCTAATTTTCTACAATTTGACTGATTCAAACTGTTTCAGCTTTAAACTACCTATATCAAAATTCCCACTTACAAAATATTTACAAAAATTACAAATTTTCGTCATTAAAATACCCACCAAAATCAAAAAATGTTCTCCTCTAATTTCTACATTGTTTTGATTGATTCAAACCATTCCACCTTTAACCTGTTGCTCTAATACCTACGGATGTAAGGGGGACAATGAGTATTATTCTAGTTTGGATTTGGAAATGTATATTTTGTTAACAGCAGTCTTGGAATACAACTGAAAAACATTGTTTGTACTTTAAAGTGGAGATGCATTCATTTGTTCTGCCTGTCACTATATGGTGCTGGCATGAACAGATGAAAAAAGATGATAGCGAAAAGAGTTGGGATTCACTGGTCAACGACCCTTACCGTTTCCCCTGTAAACTGAGTGTGTTGAGGCAAAATGACAACACCTGTCCATCTCGAAGGACAGTAGAGAAACAGGAATCCTCAGTGGAGAGCAATGCAGAAGGGAAGCTGTCAGGCCAGACGCCAGCACAAAGTAACTCAGTGTCCAAGTTTTTGGTGTCCAGAATAGACAGGCGCTGCTCAATCACTTGCTGGGCGAGCTGGGAAGAAAATAGTACAGGATATGTTATAAAATACTACATGCTTTGGCGAAGATGAACAATGAACATTAGATTTCAAAAGACACCTGTCATCGCTTCCTGGTGGCGACAGTAATGATGTAAAAACTGGAAGCCAGGTATGAGAACTTGTCTTTCCCGCCAAAAAATATTTGTCTGAATTTGAACTCAACCCATTTCCAAAGCTCCATCTGAGGGGCACGTGAAATGCTTGGGGGAGGTGATTAAATTATTATTAAAAATATATATCACTAAATTGTAATAAACATTATTCCCCTACAAACAATTGTGTGTTTATGTGGCTTGAGTGCAAGAGTGCAGTGCTCCACAGGTTTTTTCAGCAAAACAAAATATTCCGAACCATTTCTGGCTCCAGAAAGAAACCATCACAATTCACAATATTGTTCAATCACAAAAACGTTGTGTCATCACGTGGTGGAACATATCCTTGTTTTGCATTGAGCTCAACACACCTGTCCAACACTTCACTTACCGGTATATTTATTTTCTTTTTAAATCCAAAGTACCCTCAATAATGCAGTATGACTTATTTTTTCTTTTTTTATTGCCACTAAAACCGTTTAATATTTTCTGCACTCTCTCTACCTTCTGTCTTGTCTCTGCAAGGCGTGCCAAAATTGCTCCCACCATTGGATGTTTGTCATTGGCTAGCATGAAACAAGACTTTGCATTGACTGGCCTTAGCATTACATTCAAGGACAAGTGTAAAAATTAGGTTGTACATTGTTTCAAGCAGGGAAAGTTGGTTTTAAGATATATTAATTCATTTAATTATCTTATCTAGATATAGCTACGATAACAAACCGTTCAGCATGACAGGAAACATCAATAAATAAACATAAGCAACTTGGTGGGTGGGCCCGGCCCCTCATGATAACGGGTCTGGTCTGGGGGAAAAGACAAAACAAAAAAACAATTTAAAAAAAACCTAAAATCTGGCAGAAAATTGTTTATACTTATGGCATGCAAGACTGAGGTGGTATCCCTACAACTCAGAATTTCCTTTTTTTTTTTTTTTTTTTTTTTTTTGGTAGCTACACCCTAGGTGGTGCTAACCAAGGACAGTAAAAAGAAAAAGAGAGAAAACAAGTGAGAAAATGCTCTCCATGCTTACTCTCCAGGAGGCCACAGAATATGTGGTCCACAATGCATATCGCTTGAGAAAAGTGACTTTTCTTCCAGTTTTTGCCATTATTACGAGATCAAGTCACGTCTCAATCATTTGGTGGTGGGGGTCCCTCCCAACACGAATTTTTTTTTTTTTTTTTTTTTTTTTTTTTTTGGTAAATAGGTAATCACGGGTTTGTTGTTAGTTTATTCTTTCCCAACGCAGTCATATTTATTTGTATTCAACCACCTCGTTATTTATTAATTGACAGTGACTCTAAATTTAATTTCTTTACCGTTGTTTTATTATGTACAGGCACTATATGTATGATGACTCACTTCCTTGTATATTGATGTAAAAATGTACGACCAGCCTGCGCCTTGAATGGATCAGTGAGGACACATCCATCCACATTCTGAACCACTCACATTTACGATGGTTGTGCATAGACTCGTTGGTACAGAACAACGCACACGTTGAAGCACTTAAAACAGGCACACACATAAGCATGCAAATATGACAAACACTTCTGTTGTAGCATAAAATTATTATCAAAGCACAGTTGCAGTACAATGTGAATGTAATTCTAAATTTATTGCTGCCTTTGTTAATGTTGATGGTTGTCAATAAGTGCTACTAAAAAAAAAAGAAACTACACTTTCTAGATTGTTTTTTCCTTTAAAAATGCTCATTTCTCACTGAACCTTTAGTCATATCATTATCGTATCGTGAGAGATGCCTTGCAAAAATATTGAGATATTAAATTTTGGCCATATTGCATTGCTCTAGTCACCACAATAAAACATGGTGGTGGGAGTATTATGTTGCTTTAATGTGGTAAGTGGTTAAGCGTGTCGACCTCACAGTGCAGAGGTTCAATTCCAGCTCTGGCCTCCTTGTGTGGAGTTTGCATGTTCTCCCCCTCCAGCGGCCACCTGAAGCTGCCACCCCGAGGGAAACCACAAGCTTTGGGCCAGATGACCGCTGAGTTGGGATTCAAGTGAATGGGACCTAGTCAGTGGTACCCAAATCTTCAGTACTTACAATAAATATGTTTTAGGTAACGTATGTATTTTTTTCTTTCCATTTGCCAAATCTTCCCAAATCTTGGGAAGATTTGTGTGTCTGTGTGTTTCGGTTTCGTTCATGTGAGGGGCCGTTCTGGCTGTTGCTCATCGTGGCGTGCGTGCGTGCATATGTGCGCGAGTGCATGGTTGGCGCCCGCGTGCGTGCATATGCTAGCACATGCGCGATCGGGTCGATCTTCCATCAAAAAAGCTCACCCTATCTGACAAGCTGACCCAAGTAGTAAGTAACCTCTGCAGCTCGCATGCAGACAGTGCCTGCTTCGAGTGGTAGCAACGGAATACAAGCCAGATTTGAAGAGGATTCTTCAAGAGAAGGAATGCCAAAAGTCCCTGCACTAAGGCGCTAAGCAACATGCATAGTAGGAGGGAAAACATTATATTTTTGTTTTTGGACTTGGTTGAACTGAGAGTTTGTGTGTGTGAGACAGTGCAGACAATATTCATTGTTGAAAATGACTGGCTCCTACAGTCTTATTACCGTAGCCAATATCTGTCAATATCATGATGTTTTACAATAAATCTGGCTGAGAAGAGGTCTGCGTGCGTGTGTGTGAAGAAGGGATGGGGTGATGTGTGTGTGTGCCCATGTGTATGATGTGGCTCTTTGCAGGAATGCAGTAAAAAAATTGGCTCTTAGTCTCTGATTGGTTGGCCACCCCTGCTGTATATCGTTTTAATCGGTGTATGGCTGAAAATGCATATAGTACAGCAGAAAATGTATTTCACAAAACACACTAAACAAGTGCGTATTGTGCTTTAAGTGAGGAGGGGAAGAGAACAGCTATTGAAAAAGCTGTAGCATCATCTTATTCAAATGTTTTTCTTTTGTGTGCAACATGGTACCTTCTGGCTGGCAGTGGTACGTTGACTGAGGGCGTAAACCTCTTGACAGGCATGCTGCAGCGCACTGGGTAAATCCACGCCTCTTTGTAGCTGGCAGAACAGCAGGGTGGCAGCATGGAGCATTGAGGTCACTGATGAGGCAGGGGAATCTAGAGTAATGAAGGCAATACTGAGTAGATTGTCAGAGTAACCAATTACATCGTGAAATTGTGCTGCTGATGTGTACCCCAGATGGCAGATTTGATGCTTTTGTGTATTTCTATCAGCAAATTACACACAGAGTCCCCAGTCGCTCCAGCAGTGTGAAGCAATGTTTTCAAATCCAGTGTGTCCCAGGATATTCCGTCAGTTTCCCCAGGGATATAAATTTCTACCCCTCTGTTTCTCATGGCCCTGGAGAGCTCTCCGTGCACAGGGTCCATTGTCAGGAACAACCTGTTTAGTTCAAAACAATGGTATTTTAAAGAACATGAAATGTTATTGATGACAAGTAATAGCCAGTTAACAACTTCAATACCTGAAGTTAGGATGCGGTGTTATTATTGGGATCTTCCCATCAATAACTCCACGTTCATTAATGGTGAGAGATCCACTAGGTTCCAGGAGAGCATTCAGGCGATCCAGCACAGAGGCACTGAACACATAATACATAATCAGTTCAAATGGTTCAATATCCTCAAATGCATTGCGATCACTTTCAAAATCACTAATGGCAGAACAAGAGGTATCACTTGCTCAGTGCACAATAAAATCTCATTTAAATTGGAAAATTGAGATAGTCAAGGTCCCCACTGAAATTCCATCGAAATTTCGCTTGGAAGATCGTCCAACATTTCTGTCTTTTCAACAGGTATTTCAGCAAAGTCAATGTCATCAGTTTCATGGAATTCAAGTCATGACTGCAGGGTTTTCCTTTTTTAAATGTCTCTACAATTATGTCTGTGTCATGCTGACAAAAGAAAATAACACTGCAGCCAACTATATAGAGCAGGTTTAATTATGTATGTTCCTGAGGGCGCTTTGCTTGATCTGGGAAAGGATGTTCTGAACATGTGCAGGATGTAATGAAATCTCAAGAGAAGGGACACTGCTTTCTATCTCTGCACAACAATCTACAGCAGGGGTCCCCAAACTACGGCCCGCGGGCCGGATACGGCCCGCCTCCACATTTGGTCCGGCCCCCTGAACAATACCAGAAAGCATTTTGATTTTTTTTTCATATATGTGTATTTGTATTTGATAATAAAGTTGGACTTTTGCAATAAAATGTTCCTTAGTTATGAACTATTTTCATTATTAACTATTACTAAGTAACTATTTTATACACGCATATAACGTGACATTCTGTTCCAACCTTCTGCAGTCTGTGCCCCGATCTGGCAACCCCCAGAAAAAAAATCCTAACCCCGCCCCTCTCAAAAACAGAGCGGAATGATGGCGAAAAGATTAGGTAAGAGAAAAATTGATTCAGAATGCAGGGCATTTAACCTGCAGTGGACAAACGATTATTTTTTTGTTCAATGCAAAGAAAAGGCTGTCTGTCTCATCTGTCAAGAGGCGGTGGCGGTATTCAAAGAATACAATCTGCGGCGACATTATGAATCCCGTCACAAGGACAAGTATGATAGCTTGCAAGGCCAAATGCGAGCAGACAAACTCTCAAAGCTAAAAAGTGGACTGTTAGCTCAGCAGAATACATTTGTACGCCAAGCTCAGCTGAACCAGTCATCTGTTCGGGCCAGTTTTCGGGTTGCTCAACTGATAGCATGCAGTGGTAAACCTTTCACTGATGGAGAGTTTGTCAGGAAATGCATGAACGCTGTCGCAGAGGAGGTGTGTCCCGAGAAGAAAGATGTCTTTAATGCCGTGAGTCTATCAGCGAGTACAATCACCAGACGCATTGAAGAAATCGGGGGTAATGTATATGCCCAGCTGCAGCAGAAGACAAAAGAATTTGAATTTTTTTCATTAGCACTGGATGAGAGCACAGACGTGCAGGACACCGCGCAGCTGCTCGTTTTTATTCGTGGAGTTAGTGCAAACTTTGAGATGTGCGAGGAGCTGGCAGCACTCCAAAGTCTGAAAGGGACTACGACGGGGGAGGATATTTTCGGCAAAGTGTACCAAACCATGGAAGAGTTGGACCTGGACTGGTCAAAGCTGGCCAGCATCACAACTGACGGGGCTCCTAGTATGGTGGGCATGTCTCGGGGTCTAATAGGACGCATGAACCAGGAGATGGAAGAACGGGGTCTCACTGCCCCGCTACAAGTCCACTGCCTAATTCACCAGCAAGCACTGTGCTGCAAAGTGTTGACGTGGGATTCTGTCATGAAGGTTGTGGTTTCATGCATAAACTTCATCAGAGCAAAGGGACTTAAACACAGGCAGTTCCAAGAATTCCTGTCTGAACTGGAATCTGCGCACGGAGATGTGCTGTACTACACAGAGGTCCGATGGTTGAGCCGGGGCAGAGTTTTGAGGCGTTTTTACGAGCTGCTACCTGAAATTAATGCATTTCTTCATTCACAAAACAAAACGGTGCCAGAGCTGACGGACCCAGAATGGAAATGGCACCTCGCATTTTTAACAGACATGACAGAAATGCTGAACAGCTTTAACTTGCAACTACAAGGCCAGGGGAAACTCATTTGCGACATGTATTCCCACATAAAAGCATTTGAGGTGAAACTAGAGCTGCTTTTGGGACAAGTGAAAAAGCACAGCTTCATCCATCTCCCTGCTACACAAAACCTCTCTGCAGAGAACCCAGCGGTCCCGTTTCCAGCTGAAAAGTGTGTGGAAGCATTGGAAATGCTGAAGGCGGAGTTCGGTGTGCGATTCCGTGAACTACATGTTTATGCAAAAGAAATCCGTTTTTTCCAGAACCCATTTGTTGCCGACATTGATGAAGCCCAGCCTTCTTATCAGTTTGAGTTGGCCGAGTTACAGAACTGTGATGTTCTGAAAGACGGATTCAAGCCCAACAGTCTCATTGACTTCTATGCCGCCCTCCCAAACGGCAGGTTCCCTAACATCAGAAAACACGCAATGAAGATGTCAACAATTTTTGGCAGCACGTATATCTGCGAGCAAACCTTTTCACGCATGAAACTGCTGAAAACTCCAATGAGATCAAGATTGACAGATGAACATCTGCATCAGTGTTTGAGACTGGCAGTGACTGAAATGGAACCTGACATTCAACTTCTCACCAGCCAGATGCAGGCCCACAGTTCACACTGATGAACATACAAAGGTAAGCTCACTTTTCTGACTTGAAAGAGTCATTCTGAGTATCAACAAATATAATCATAATAAAATCTACTGGGATAAAATCCATCTCCACAACCATACTGGTAGTGGTACTGGTTGTGCTGTGTAGGTCCTGTATCACTTAGTTCAGTTTCTCAGCCTGCTTGCTTGGTGGTTTTCACAGGGAAGTTGGTGAGAGACAGAGAGCTGCAAACAACGATGTCTACAAGCCTACTGGAACCTACAAAAGGATTATAAGGAAGGAACACAAGAACTTTGAGAGACTGCTCATATGAGTCATTTAAGTAAGAGATTCTGCTCTGACAATTAAGCTGAACTTGGACCTGTTAAGACTGTGCACGGCACAACAGAAAGTTTATGTTCCATGGACGTTTTTTCTGTGAAGAACCTAGAGAGGGTTATTTGGTTATTATTTATTTCATAAATAGTGTTATTTATTTCCTGGCTTTTTTTCTGTGAAGGCCGAGAGAGGGTTATTTGGTTATTATTTATTTCATTAATAGTGTTATTTATTTCCTGGCTTTTTTTCTGTGGAGTGCCTAGAGAGGGTTATTTGGTTATTATTTATTTCATTAATAGTGTTATTTATTTTCTGACTTTTGTTCTGTGAAGAATCCAGAAAGGGTTGTTTGATTGTGGCTTTCTGGAAAACAATAAATTTTTACATTTAGGCACTCCTGCAATCATCACACTTTTTCTATTACAAACTGACCCTGGCCCCTCATCAGAGAAGGGAAAAGTTATGTGGCCCTCACAGGAAAAAGTTTGGGGACCACTGATCTACAGTATCGTATTTTCCACATTATAAGGCGCACCTAAAAGCATTCAATTTTCTCAAAAGCCGACAGTGCGCCTTATAATCCGATTCTCCTTATATACGGATCAATACTCAGATTTCTCTTGGACATAGTATTTTAAATGTTCTGTAAAGGGCTTTGTTACATCTGCAGCGGTTTGAAATCTCTCTCTAAACAAAGCTGTATTATATTTTATTCCCATCAGCGTAGCTCAATCTAGTGGATGTGAAACGCAACCGCAGCCACTATTGTAGCTTCTAGTCGATGCGCCTCATAGCCTACATATGAAAACAGTTTTAAAAAAGGTTGTCATTCATTGAAGTTGCGCCTTATACTCCGAAGCGCCTTATGGTGCGGAAAATACGGTACATTACTTACATGTTTTCTCATCTGCAGCCATACAAACATAGAACTCAGGCATGCAAATGCCCGTAGGCATGTGTATGAACATGCACCTGTGTGACCATGTGATAATCACTCCTTGGTGAGTAGGTATCGAAAAGGTTCTAGCTCCATCCCATCAACACTAATACATGAGCCCCGAAATAATTTTATGGCTGATTGGAAAAAAAAAAAAAAAACAAACAGTTGAAATGAATGAATTAACACAAAAAATTCCATTCAATTCTTTTAATTTTCCTTCAAACAGTTCCTTATCTGTTGTTATTTTTGTCCATCCAAGGAGGAATGGCATTGTGCAATATGTCAGGACCAATGTTTCCTCTAAATTTCTTATCGCTGGACAAACAGATAACCTCCCTGAGCACACGAGCACCACTGTGAGCAACATCAGAAGTGCTCACTGTGGCCACACACCAGTATCACACCTGGGATCAGAGAAATCTTCATGGCTTATTAAAAGAAACAAATTACAACATCAATTAATGCATTCATTTTAATGGCAAGTAATATACAGTAAATATTCCCATCCCCGGAATTCTATGAAAAGGAATATCCTTCACCCGGAACAAAAGCCTGTGCATTAACATTTTGACTACGATATTACATGTTACCGGAACTTACGTAAGCGGAAATTCCACTACCCGTAACCCGGATGGAGACGTCATGCCGCGGGAGCTGAAATAAACGCAACGCCCATCCGATGCTACGGAACGACGACACCGAGACACATTTTCACTTTGCGTTTTTCGATCATCAGATTCGAAACGACGACGTGTAAGTGAGTTTTTATTGGCGTGCGTTTTACTGTAATTGTGAATGATTTTAACTTTATTCACTTAACGTCCTGTAGAACGCGGCACTAGCTTAAAAGCAGCACCCACTCGACAGGATGGAAGAAACGTGTTCGCTTCGCCGTTTACATTCATCAGATTCGAAACGAAGACGTGTAAGTGACTTTTTATTGGCGTGCGTTTGACTGCAATTGCGAAAGATTTTAACTTTATTCACTTACGTCGTGTAGATCATGGCATCGAAACGTAGAAGAACTGTAATGACTGGAGCGGAGCGAGTGAAATGCACCCGTTTGAGCAAGGCTGGACACAAAGTTAAAAGCATCCAGCAGACACTTGGAGTCGGAAAGACCCAAATCCACGAAGCTTTAAAAAACAAGGCATCGATTCAACTCCTGATGACAAGCCACCATCCAGCGAGGAAGCAATGCAAATGGCAACAAATCCATCAGTATGCACAAGAATTACCTGACATCGGTGATCAACGGGACAGTTACTTGCAACTAGCAACAAAACTGTATGACACGCAGGCAAACATTGTCATAAACCAAAGAATGCATCCAACCAAACAATCCAAAATAGACACACTTTTTTCCCCAAGACAGAAAAAAATAAACATTAAAATACTGTACATATTTTACTGTTGATTTTTTTTGCATACACCAGTATTGCAGTTTTTGTTATATAATGTTTTTGGACAGTATATTTTTGTATTTTATTGATTGTGTTGTTACACGTGCATTTTTGTCAACATACTTGCAGGTTCATAAAGGACATGTACCATGCTCATTTCCCAAATGAGGAATTTCTGTTATCAGGACAAATTGGACAGCGCAAACACGAGTCCGCACTAGAGAATATTTACTGTATTGTCAACTTTAACTTGCTCATGGTCAGATTTTTTTCTGTGGAACAGCCGATTCTTTTTCTCCTGATTGTTTGCGCTCTCCCGCAATAATGTACGAATCCGTTTTCCCATCTTGAGTCTTCGTATAATTCCAACCGCATTAAAGATGACTCTTCTGCTGAATCTGTCACTTGAGGTAGTACAGCTTCCATTTAGTCCATATTTTTCCATCGGAAAATTTTCTAACAACTTTAGCTTCGCTGCATGTTTTGCAGAGCAGACCTTTCTCACACAAAAAAGGAAAGATCTCACCCAGTTTCACCGCTTGTTCTTTTATTTGAAACGTTCTCCGACAGCCATTCCAACCGCACTCATTTCACCATGATCAAGGGTTAGCATTAGTGTCACTTAACTCAAGTCAAGTCAGCTTTATTGTCAAATATGCTCTTTGTGCAACGTACAGCACGGGTGAAATTTCTTTCCTCTCAACCACAGTGCAGCCACAGGAGAGAGAGAAGAGCCGAATTGTTATTGTGTGTGAGGAGAGCACATGCGCAAGTACTGTCAATGCCGTGATTGGCGTCATCGTATCATATGAGTGGCTGAACACCTGTCATTCACTGAAAAGCAAAATGACAGAAAAAAAGTTATACATCTAATTCATTTGCAGTGTGTCCACTGCCCTGGATAGGTTTTCTTATGCGGTTAGAGTGTGCGACTAGTGCGCAGTTGCACAGCTTAGACGGCACATTGGTCAGGACTGTACTCTTATGACATTGCACTCTACTGTTGCATTCCCGATCCAAACATTTGTTGTCATGGGCAGAAAAGAATGAATCGATTGTGTGATTGTGCGCGTGTGTGTGTGTGTGTGTGTGTGTGTGTGTGTGTGTGTGTGTGTGTGTGTGTGTGTATGCGCGCGCACGTTTTTCTTCTGCCTACAGTAACAAAAGTTGTCACCTGAAATCTGTCCTGCAAAAAATATTCACAATTTCTTACCTGCAGAAGTTAGCGTTGTCCATGAGCAACCAATCACCTGCCTGCATGGCTTGGATTAGCATTCCATCTAACCATTCAAATCCTCCATTGGTCCATCCATTCTCCAACTGCGACATATGCTCTTTCAGTAGCACGAAGTCCTGTTGCAGCTTTGACATGTCTAGGGGGTTCATACAAGAGATACTATCATAAATATACAGTACATACATATACATAGCCCCAGACGCCAGGTCGCAAGGGAGAGTGGGGGCTCGGACAACATGACAGGGTGTGGTTAAGCACAGTGAGTGTCACAAAAAGCTATGGTTCTGTATGTGAAATATGCGACGCATGGAGTGAGTGGGGGGGTCATACTTCGTGAGAGAAAGCACCAGAGTTTCGTGTGGATGATGTGACTGCGAACTGAAGCACCGTGGGTTTGTAAACCAATTTGTTCATGAAGAGGTTCATATGGTGAGGTGAGGTAAACTCATCATATGTAGTTTTGCATTTGGTTTTTCAGCAAGTGATCAGAAACGTAAATGAGACTTCCAGCTTTTCTTATTCTTGTTTGCAATTCCCAAAGTAATCTGGGAATTGCAAATATATTACTCATAGAATCGTGAATGCTTGACAGCCACTGATGCATTACCTGTGAACACTTTGAGCTTTGTGTTCAGTTTTTGCAAGAGGACGACGATGACTTCCAGTTTGTTTACAGCCTCAGAGTTCAATGTTCTTGTCGAGCTTTCGGGATTCTCTTCCCTCAACCAGTGGTAAAAGATGCCCCATGTCTGCAGTAGAAACTCGGTGTCTTGAAGGCATACATCCAGCGACATCAATCCACGCCTTGCTACCAGGGCAACTAAGTAGTAGACGCTTTCAAGAAGATGTTGCCATGGACGCATAATATCCACCTAAGGAATGAAAAACATGGCTGTCATCTAAAATTTTTGGGCAATGATAGTGAGCTACAAGATAAATCGGCAAAGTTACCTGTTCAAAGCCTCCCAGTAACTCTGTAGTGTCCATGGCACTGTTCATAGGCATGACTCTAAGGCGGTTTCCTGTCAAGAGAGCAAGTAGCCTCACCAGGCTGGTCTTTCCACTGCCCGTTGGCCCAACCAGTATGGTCATCCAGTTCATCTCAACACATTTCATTAAGGACTCAAGTGGCCCCAGGGCTTGATGTGTGATGGAGAGTGGCGGATCTAAGCCTACAGGGGCTCCACCACTTCGCTGCAGTACAGAGAAGCCCATCTAACAGGGATATATCAAACGAAATTAATGATTTCATGTCGTTCTGGGGGAAAAAAGGTTGCTTTAACATTTGGATCTACCTGAAAGCTGAGTGGTGTGATATGAAATTGTCTGGAACCTGTGTAAGGTTCAAACTCTTCCCCAAATACCTTCCTGAACACAGCCAGCACCTGTGTAGTGAAAGAAGACGAACTATTTAACACCATGTTCTTCACTAATGAGAATTATTTTGTTTAAAAATCATCAATTAGACAGCTAGAGATAAAACGTTTACCTGTGCCTTGTCGGCCTCTGTTCTCATCTTGTCCGCATATACCAGAGCCACATGTTGGCCAGGGTTGAAAAATCCTGGCGACTGGTCAGCCAGCATCAGCTGACACCAGCGAAATATGTCACGCAGGTTGAACTCCCAGGGGCTTCCTTTTTGACCCCAGCGCCGTTCAACACTCACCTCCTGGAAAAGCTGCAGAGGCACAAAGTGTCTCATTTCACTCAATAATATCATAATTGCAATTTGGGTAAACACTGTACTCTACACACATTCTACAGTTAACTGTGCTCTATTATCTTTAGTTGGTTGGTCCTTGCTACGGCACTGGTATTCTTTCATGATAAGGCTATTGTTGAACGTTAAACTTGTACATTGCATCTGTCCTAAGTCCATAATTATTTTGGGCAATCAGTGGAAACAGGATGTGCCGGAGCTCAATTTGGAGTAACGGCAAAGGTGTGCATACTTACACAGGTGATTTTGTTATTGTAATAATTTAGCAAAAATCTAAATAAATAATTTGCAGTATGTACATGTTGTCTTTATGGGGTGTTGTGTACACAGTTTTGAGTAAAGACATACATTTTCTGCAAGTTGGAATAATGCTATAACATAAAATGAGGAAATATGGACTGTGAATCGTTTTCCGATGCACCGTACGTAAGATATCGTCAGATTTCAGCTTCCTGCATGTCCGTCATTTTTAGGACGGTGCTTTTATTTTATTTTTTTGTGTCAGTGTGAAATTTCAACTTCCTAGTTTTTTTAAACTTTCAACTGAATGCCAGCATTTTGGTGTGGAGAGGAGGGGTTAGGAAACTACACTTCGAGACTGAGAATATGAGGAGAGCGAATTTTCCTGTATGCTACACTTGCTGCCTGGGTTGTTCGCAGCTACCGAGTTCTGGATAGAGATGTGTATGCCAGTTGCACAGGGTTTGAAAGTAAATACAGTCAAACCTCGGTTTTCGAACGTCTGTGTTCTCGACCAAATCGGTTGTCGACCAAAAATTTCGAGTTTTTTATATCTCGGTTTCCGACCAAAAATCAGTTCTCGACCAGACTGAGCGCACGTGAATGCACCACTTGACTCCTCTCGCCTTCCTTACACGGGGACGTGACGCTTCCTCGTGAGCAGACGTGTTCAATAAAGATTTTTTTTTTTTTTTAAAAGAGGGTGGTTTCGGTTTTTGAACAAATCGGTTTTCGACCAAAAATTTCGAGTTTTTTATATCTCGGTTTCCGACCAAAAATCAGTTCTCGACCAGACTGAGCGCACGTGAATGCACCACTTGACTCCTCTCGCCTTCCTTACACGGGGACGTGACGCTTCCTCGTGAGCAGACGTGTTCAATAAAGATTTTTTTTTTTTTTTAAAAGAGGGTGGTTTCGGTTTTTGAACAAATCGGTTTTCGACCAAAAATTTCGAGTTTTTTATATCTCGGTTTCCGACCAAAAATCAGTTCTCGACCAGACTGAGCGCACGTGAATGCACCACTTGACTCCTCTCGCCTTCCTTACACGGGGACGTGACGCTTCCTCGTGAGCAGACGTGTTCAATAAAGATTTTTTTTTTTTTTTTAAAAGAGGGTGGTTTCGGTTTTTGAACAAATCGGTTTTCGACCAAAAATTTCGAGTTTTTTATATCTCGGTTTCCGACCAAAAATCAGTTCTCGACCAAACTGAGCGCACTTGAATGCACCACTTGACTCCTCTCGCCTTCCTTACACGAGGACGTGACGCTTCCTCGTGAGCAGACGTGTTCAATAAAGATTTTTTTTTTTTTTTTAAAAGAGTGTGGTTTCGGTTTTTGAACAAATCGGTTTTCGAACAGCCTTCTGGAACGGATTATTGTCGAAAACTGAGGTATGACTATAGTGTGGTTCCAGTTGGGGGAATCTTGTAAAAAAACTACCAAAACATTTGCAGGTAATCAATTGTAAATAATATACTGTAACAAAATATAGTTTTTCAATTGATTATTTTAAAAAAATGTTTCAAAGTCAAAACGTTATGTCAGTGTGCTGTCACTCTTATACAATAATACAAACATACGCTGTCACTGAATTCCACCATTCGAGAAATGATTTCTTTATCAATGGCCGGAAAAATTGAATTTCCGATGAACTCCATGTCTTTGCTGGTGAGGTGGTCCACAAACACCTAGAAAAAACAAAGAATAATCAGGGTCACAATAGTGACAAAAAAAAGGACAAAATTATAAAGCCAATTAAGATTACTAATACTGATTAGTATCACATTAATACTAATTGTGCAACTTCTTCGTCACCACTAATAAATGATACGCAGCATTTCCATATTAGTCGGAAGCTCTTCAGAAGAATAACATTCCATAAAAACAATATGCAGTATGTATGGATGAACTCCAAGACTTACAGCACATCTGAGAAAAGTAGGGCCTGCGGGTCACATCCATAGTCTCTGCAGCCTTTTTGACGTCAAATTAAAACCGCAGATATGTGCTGCTTGGGTTGTTCCCATGAGTCAGCAGTGCAAGCAAAACAAGAGCAGTGACTTGTCCTCAGTGTTGCCAACTTAAAAGATACTGTCACTGTATTTAGTGACTTCTCCAACCATTCTCGTAACAATTAAAAACAAAAATAAAATAAAAAAATAGTGCATCTGTGGTCTGCATGTTTTTTCTATTTAATGAATAGTGGTGGGAAGAGCGGGATTTGCCGTGGGAATTATTTGAGAGTCTTTACAACAGCAAATAGTGGTTGGTGTTAATGTCGGCACACTCAAAAATATTGAAAAAAAACCCTGCAAAAATATTGAAAAAAGACGCTGCACAATAGTGATTTCATAATGTTTACGTGTCATGTTAATGGAACTCTTTTTTTTTTTCACCAGTTTTAATTTTACTTTTTGATTTCCTAATTACAATATGTACCTGGGCTAAACAAGTGGCAGCTCATCAACACAAGAAAACTTAATATCTCATAAAAATACATTTAATTCCTATTGAACACAACTGGGTTAGCGTGTTGGTGTTGTCCTCAACAACCCTTTGAGCTTCATGTATAGCCTCTTAAAGTTGATTCCCGACTCCTGACTTGCAGCATGGAAGAACAGAGGAGCGGGGGCCAATGCTTTTTACACTATGGACCGCTTTCATGTCAAGGCATATTTTTGACGGATAACCGTATTTTCCAGAGTATCAATCGCAGTTTTTTTCATAGTTTGGCCGGGGGTGCGACTTATATACTCTGGAGCGACTTATGTGTGAAATGGTTAACACATTGTACACATCACATGTTATTTTTACATTAAACCGCAAGAGGGTGCTCTCGGCTGTGTTGAGAAAAACATCTGACAATGACTCTGACGTAAGCGACATAAAAGAGGAAGCGCTGCATCTTCTACCTCCGGAGTTGGTGGAGTTGTTTAAAAGTGACACCGAGCATGAAGATTTCATTGGATTTCATGATTTGGAGTGACGCTGATGGTTTGGTAAATTTGTTAGCATGTTCTTTGTGCTATAGTTGTCTAAATAACTCTTAATATGTTACGTGAACATACCAGGCACATTCACAGTTCGTTGTTTAAGCGTCATGTAACGTTAGCATATCGTACACTTATTCAGCCTGTTGTTCTCTAGTTTTATTTTTATTTTAAATTGCCTTTCAAGATGACATGTATGTTTTTGGTGTTGGATTTTATCAAATAAATTTCACCCAAAAATGCGACTTATACTCCAGTGCGACTTATATATGTTTTTTCCTTCTTAATTATGCATTTTTTGGCTGGTGCGATTTATAATCCGGAGCGACGTATAATCCGAAAAATACGGTAGATGGTTGCCTCGTTGGCAGTGAACAAGAGAAGACACACGTTCAACAAATTTAAACATAAACCTAGGTGCTTAGTTTGCTTAAACACGCAGTCAGCCATGAAAGATTTCAACCTAAGCCACCACGACAACGGCAAACTCAAAAGTACACAAACCGCAAGAATCGTTGACGGTTTATTTGAAGTACATGAGGAGTTAACGAATGTGTGTCCTCCAAAAACTTTTGCTGTATTCAAAACTTGTGTAGTGCTTTTCCACCTACAAGCCGCTCAAAGCGCTTCACACTGACTCCTCACTCACCAACTGATGATGCAGTATCTTGCTCAAAGACACTTTTGACATGGTCTCAGGGGCAGGGAAACGGACCCTGGGTTGGGAGAACGCTAGACTACAGCGCCATAACACCCCTCCGCTACAAACAAATATGGTGGCCAGGGCTAGACTGGCCAACAAATGGCAATTTGACTGGCATTTTTTTTAGCGCAGGTGCATTTGAGTGAACCTGTACGTGCTGAGTCCATCATGCGTGCACACGAGCAATCACACAAGTAAGCGTACGAACATGTACTGATGTCAGTAGCCATGTTCACATAGGCTTGAACACTTCTTTCTGCTCATTATCCTCTCCTTAACTGGGAGGTGATTGTCCACCATGCTAATGCACAGCCATGGTTACACAAAACAAAATTCACACATATCCCAAAATAACACAGCCAGAACACTAGCAGGGCCAAGTCCAAGTATAAAGCAAGGCTTTCCTTAGCTCAATTTACTCAATAATGCCTTTCTTTTCCATTGCTTAATTTGTATCTCATGAACTGATTTGCATTTGCTGGCTAATTTGCATACTGACAGTAACTCTGAGCGGGTGTCTCGCCAGTTACATAATGAACACCGTATTGAAATGCTAAGCAAAAAAATCAGTGACTTTTTAACCGTTTCCCACCTGTGTGAATCTGTTAAGGAAGGATTTGGGAAGCCCTTTACGGCCACCTCCTTGTGTGTATGGGTTCTGACAGCCAAAGATTTTTGTCTTCTCTTGCTGAACTTGGAAGGTCATGCCCAGCTCAGGAATGAAGATTTCTGCTCGGTGATCAAAGCAGGCGTTCAATCCTTCCAGCACAGACTGGGACGCCAGATTCAGCTGTTAGTATAAAACAAAAGGAATTTCATTCACATATTCTGCACACACGCACGCATTCAAAAATACCTGAGCGGACAACTATGAAGCAACAATGTGTGTATTGCTTTAAGTGGGTTTTACCTCATCTAGGAGAATCCAGTTCCCTGACTTCAAAGCAGCCAGAAGTGGACCATCGCGCCATGCAAACTCTCCTCCCTTCCCTCCTTCTACAGGTAGGTCAGTCCCAAACAAATCTGTGACATCCTGCCAGGGAAATATACATCATCATTTGTATTTCCGGCTCATTTCAGAGCATAATAGGCAGGTACAGGTACATGAAGAAATACTCAACTGTTTGCTCTGACAAGTTTATTCTGACCAGATGGTTCCCTGAAGCTTTCGCCAGTGCAGATACAAGGCTAGTCTTCCCCACACCAGGCGATCCCTCCAGCAGAACAGGCCTCTGAAGTTTCAATGCCCGCAAAAGCCTCAGGGCATTCATTGCAGTAGTGCCTGCTCCAATGGTGTAATCCGATAGGTTATTGCTCTCAGCCAGAGGACCTGCACGGACACGTGGTAGATTTCTCAATTTGGAAAAAGCGGTACTAAGTTTCAATGTGTTAATTTGGGGTAATTACCAATGCTATTAGGACAAACATAGCCCCTCTGCTGTTTGTTCCAAAGTCGAGGCGTCAATGTTCAGTCAAGGTGATAGAGCTTTTTTTTTTTTTTTTTTTAAATCAGAGCAACTCAAATTTGGAACGACCTGCCTGTGGTTCTGAGATGTGCGCTATCAATTGCATCTTTTAAATCACTTGTTTAAATTCGCTTTTACGGGCAGTGATGGTGTCTTCTCCACTTGCATCTTTTTAATTATTTATTTTTAGATTAGAGGTGTAAGTCCTGAACCTCGCTTCATATCACTGTTTGCATCATCATTCACATGGGATACTAGATTAATAAGCAACACATTAAAATTACAAGGCTGCCTTTAGGGTTGAGGTGATACCTGTCTGCTGCCTTAATAAGAACCTGTTTTCTGAATGGTAAAAATGAGCTATTAATTAACTTTGGAAAAACTGCTTCAACACACCTTCCATAATAATACTGAAATAGCAACAATTGAAAGCATTTTGGTTTGGTAATACAACAAATGTATAAAAAGGACAGATTTTTTTTTTTTAAATCAGTGTCAGGGAACGCACAAACAATCTTAACGACAGTTTTTACCTCTTGACTATCAGTGTAAAAATGAAAAACCACATACAATATTCACACCCACACAGTACCTCAGGTATATGCATGAATATTATTTTAGGTTGTTTTATTATTAAGAAAAACATTTTATTAGGATGGTTCATTCATCCGTTTTCCATACCGCTTGTCCTCATTAAAAATGCCGGTGATATACAATAGACAGGTAATCATTATTTCTTCTGCTAAGGTTTTCCATCTTACAAGTACACTACTACAAATCTATGAGGAAGAAAGTGATTGATGATGTGCGCCCCTCCATCTTCTGCCATCTTATTTTCATCACACGACCGATGTGTACGTATACATAGTTGTAATTTATAGTATGCTGTGGTGATGTAAGTACCGTATTTTCCGCACTATAAGGCACACCTAAAAGCATTCAATTTTCTCAAAAGCCAACGGTGCGCCTTTTTTTCTGATGCGCTTTAAATATGGATCAATATTCAGATTTCTTGGACGTAATATTTTAAATGTTCTGTAAAGTGCTTTGTTCGAGCTGCAGCGGTTGTGAAAGATCTATATAAATAAAGCTCTATTGTATTGTATTCACTTTAGCATACCTCTATCTAGTGGATGTATAACGCAACCGCATCCACTATTGTAAATTCTATTCTGGGCACCTTATAATGCTGTGCGCCCTATATATGAAAAAGTTTTTAAAATAGGCCATTCATTGAAGGTGCGCCTTACTGTCCGAAGTGCCTTATAGTGCGGAAAATACAGTATATTGCTGACAATCACTTCCATGAGACTGTACAGTTAACCCATCAATTCATAATGCAGAATACAATCCAAACAGACAAATATAGAATACAGTTCTGTGAACTATACCTAAGGGAATGTAGAAAGGGTTGATGCCAAAGAAGTCTTTGTTCCAATGAGGTTCTCGCAGAAGGCTGCTGTCATAGATTTTGAGTGTATCAAGTGTCTCCTGATCCGGTTTATTCATTTTGCTCAGGCGGTTGTGCAAGAAGCCCAAGCACATCTTGCGTGCCATGATAGCATTGTTGGAACTGGACACAGTAGTTCCTTAAAAAAGAAATAGAAAAATCCATATGGCTTTTTTTTTTCCCCAAACATTTCCTATTCGGTAGAACACTGAGTAGAAGACAATTTGCTCACCTGAACCAATTCCATCAATATAAACCAGACACGCAGCGTGGATAAGAGCTTGAACAGTGTCCTGCTTGAGGTCCAATTCCGCACCACCTTCCTCGTCATGCCGTTTACACACAGCATTGAGGTAGTTAACCCATGAAAGAATGTCTCTGACGCTGATGATACAATGACGGCCAAAATCTTGAAGGGTCAACCACTCAGTGAAATCCAGGATCACGTCTGCAATCTCACCACCTAAATGGGACAATATAAAACAAAAAAGGAAAAGAAAAAGTACAAGAAACTCATCATCTGTTGAGTATAGTGCATAAAAAAACTAAATTGGGTGTCTCTGAGTTTTAAAAATGTTGTGATGATCTAAAATGTTCAAGTGTGATGAATATACAAAAACAAAATTAGAAGATATCAGGAAAGGGTCAAATACATTTGCAGCGCAGGGTAGCTTTTTGTCACTCACAATGCCATCTACATCGCATGATACTGTATTTTTGAAAAGATTCAGAGTATCTGGAGAAATCTCTTCATGTAAGCGGCAAGGCTGAAAACCAACATTGAATGGCTGTGACCTTCGATCCTTTGAGCAGGCGGAAACGCAAGCACAAACGGCATCATTATGAAAAGGATATTGCCATGTTGTCTTGAGTAACACTTCACAAAACCATTCTCAGTTTGTCACTACATCAGCGAGAGCAAGTTGAAACTCTTCCAATGCAAACTGGAAGCCATATATCAAAAACAGAAAAGCCGCAAGCTTCTGGGCCAGATGAGAGCTCATCTGAGATGGACTGGCGCAAAGTGGGAAAAGTGTAATTTGATTTGTCATTTGAAGTATGATGAAAAACTGTTTCAACTGAAAATTGGTTGTGCCATTTTTATTTCATTAAAATTTAATAAATCAATAACAGCACGTTAATTAATTTGATGAATGTTTGAATAGCGATCCACCACTATTAAATAGATAATGGTTGTCAGCAATGTTCCCTCTAAGCTGCGCAACTGCGCACTGGCCGCACACTCTCAGCGCACAAGAAAACCTATCCAGCGCAGTGAAGGCACTTCAAATGAATTAAATACATATATTTTTTTCTGTATCATTTTGCTGTGTAATTCATTGAGTGACAAATGTCCAGCCAATCATATGATACGATGCAATGACACTATGGAGCCAATCACGGGATTGACAGTACTTGCGCATGTGCTCGGCTTATACACTCTCCATAGGAATATCAGTGCGGTGGCGGATATAAGTGACGCTAATGCTAACCCCTTATCATGGCGAAACAAGAGTGTCCAGCCAATCATACGATACGATGCAATGACACTATGCAGCCAATCACGGGATTGACGGTACCGTATTTTCACGACCATTCGGCACACCGTATTGTTGGGCGCAGTCTCAGTAATGGGTGGTATTTCTGTATTTTACACATA